AGAGAGAGAGAGAGAGAGAGAGAGAGAGAGAGAGAGAGAGAGAGAGATAAACACTTATATGACTATCATACTTTTTTTAACCTACTGCACTTTATACAGATGAGTCCTATAGTCCTATTTATCCATACAAAATCTACATCTATAGGCCACATATTGGAAGAAAGTCTAACCAGGTCTTCAACTCATTGAATAAACGGGCCATATATTTATCTTTCCAAAGATGCAGTATCAGTCTTTTAGCAATAATAGGGACACGGAAAATCCATTTATATTGTCCAATTCTCCAATTCCCTTGTCCTAGGTGTGTAATTCAAAACAGTATTATCCTCTGACATTTTTACCTTTTTGGCTCCATCACTTACCTTTTACTCTCCGCTTGGCGTGCTTATTTGTCTTGAAAGGGGAAGCTTGGGCAATCCCTAGATCCAGCAAAGCTATGGCTATGAAAAGGAAAATCAGACTCGCTCCAGGCTTCATGACTCTTCAGACGGTGAGCAAGAACACTCAGTTAGCAATTCGGAGAGTTTCATATCCCATTACAACTTCCCTGCGGCTACCTTTATAAAAACTGCAGTGAGGAATTGGCTCTACTTCTTGTTTATGAAATGAATGAAATGTCTCATCAGGCTTCATCATGAAGTGCCCTGCTGTTCTTAGAATAACGAACACCTCCCTTCTGACTCCCATTTCCTGTCAGGTCTGGACATTCAGTGCATCAGGGTTGTTAACCCAAGGCTAACTTGCAGCTTTGGAAGAAATGAGTGTTGGTAAATAGACCCTTGGGATAGCTGCCTTTATAATAGGAGGCTGGCAATTGGAGTCCTTGGGCCCAATGCAGCCATTGACTAAATCTCATAGGAACCTCAACTTGAATTCAAAAGCTGTCAATGCATAATCACCCCTATTCTCAGCAGCTTGCCATATACAAGGAAGAAAGAGGCAATTAGGTTTTTGTAATGGAATTGTTGAAGTTTGGGATATCTTACCTGGTTCAGCTGCCGCAGCCACCAACTTTCACAGTTTTAATTCTAACTTGATTTCTGAGGACTTCACTCCATATTTAAGGCAAAGGCTCCCCTTGCATATACGTGCTAGTCGTTCTTGGCTCTAGGGGGCGATGCTCGTCTCCGTTACAAAGCTGAAGAGCCAGCGCTGTCCGAAGACGTCTCCATAGTCATGTGCCCAGCATGACTAAATGCTGAAGGTGCATGGAATGCTGTTACCTTCCCAGCAAAGTGGTCCCTATTTTTCTACTTGCATTTTTACATGCTTTCAAACTGCTAGGTTGGCAGAAGCTGGGACAAGTAACAGGAGCTCACTCCGTTACGCGGTGCTAGGGATTCGAACCTCCAAACTGCTGACCTTTCTAATCGACAAGCTCAGTGTCTTAGCCACTGAGCCACCACGTCCCTAATCACTCCATATTTAAGAGATGGCTAACCGAGCACTAGAGTGCCTATTGTCCCTGTCATCTTTTGATTTTTTTGTTTGTTCAAGTTTGTAGTTTTTGTTTGATGAATGAATTAAAAAAAGAAAAAAAGAAAAACCAGAGATCTTGAGGAGAAGAGAGAAGTGGGAAGCGAAATTCATGTGCCCAAAAGAGAAATGAGCATTTTTATATATATAAATGCATAGGTAGACATAAACATTTATAGAAATATGCCTCCATCTATTTGCAGATTTCAATATTGATTTAGAACCGAAAATGCTGTTGTTGCATCCAAATTGTCCAATAACTCTGACTCCTAGCAATTTCATTTATGTCATTTTCTTGGCAAAAATATGGAAAGGGTTCAACATAGTTCCTGGTTGTCTCATATCCACCAATTAGCCAAGTTTAATCCTTGCTTAAAATAGGAATGTTGCAATTTGAAATCTTTCAACCCATTTCAAGCTGCCTAAATTCCAGTGACAGAGAGGGAGGGAGGGAGAGAGAGAGAGAGAGAGAGAAACAGAGAGAGATCTACAGCTAACTATATACATGTATAGAGATATATGAGAGAGAGAGAGAGAGAGTCTTTTAAGCCATATTTATTGCTTTAATTTAATTTAATTTAACTTAATTTAATATGAAGCTTCCTGAACTGTCCCCAATCCCATGTACTTATTGTGGAAACTTCAGAATGCCATTTAAACTCTACTCACAGATTTTTGGACTAAAAAAGTTAGAAAAGTTAGAACAAAAATAGGTTTGGTGTAAACAGGATGCTGCCAACTGAAGTGTCAGTCTAAACATAAATGGGATGAAGAACTTGGCCAATCTTTAATGCAAAAATAACAACTCGAAAAGCAAATAAGTCTGAATGAATCCTGAAGGTTTGGGTGCAAAGTGTTCCTTGAGTGGTAGCAAGAAATCACCAACACCATATTTGCAGCATGCTCAAAAGGTATAAAAATATTTTGAACATTACAAACCAGCTGCATAATTTTGAACTCAAGAACCAACATATGGTGCCAACGAAAGTCATCTATTATAATACATAAATCAACAGGGACAAAAAAAAACCATTTATAAAATATATAAATAGCTACAATCCAGCTTTGATTTATATAGGCTATAAATAGCTACAATTCAGCTCGATTTGAAAGTAAGCTTTCTTTTTAAAAAATGAACATTTATTTCCCCTGCATTATAATGCTATAAATCTTATGCAAGGCAGATTTTAATGCAGTAATCTTTATGCAATGTGATTTTAAAATGTTGCACATTCTGCTATTCAGAGAACTTAAATATTGAAAATAAAAATTCTAACTGCAATTTAGGATTTCAATGTTACAAACATAACCTTATTTGACTTTTTAAGTTAAGGATAGCAGAAAAGAACAGCTGCAAATCACATTGAAGTATTCATTATATCTACTAGCATTTATTGATCATATTTATATGCTCTCCATTCCACAAAATATTAATATAATAATGGTTTCAGTCTTGACCTAAGTACTTAATATTAAATAACTCCATTTACTAGTACTTAGTGTGTCTATGTGTCAGTGTGTCGATATGAGGAAATAAGACAGATAAGGTAAATGTAACAAAAATTCAGTAAAAAGTAGAAAAAGGGGCAAAAATTAAAATTTCTCTCTTTTTGTACGTTTCCTATTTTGGAATATTTGTAAGTATATATATTCAATAAACAAATACAATAAAAATTCTGCTTCCCTTAAAAGCCAGCAACCTTCCTCTATGCCAAGCAGATCTATAAGAGATCTTTCAAAAACAAGCTGTCCATTAAAGGAGTGACTGTACCACTTTTTATTTATATCATTAAATTGCCTTTTCAAATAATACAGAGGTGGAAATGATTTCTTTGGGTATAAGTAGCCCATTTTCAAATCTTTCTTCAGACCTGAATTTCCTTGCATTAACTTACCCAGTTCCAAGGTTCATAAAAAAAAACTTGATAGAACCTTTCCAGATTAACAAATGGTATTAAACAGCATAAACTCCCCATGTACTTTTGTTAGTCTGAAAAGATGCTACCAAACTCTTTTTTTCATGATTGGCTATTATAGTCTAGCACAGCTGTTTTCCCCCATTAGCCAGATCCATCTCCTTTGCACACATATGGTACCTTATACAGCGCTGAATAGTGAGATAGAAGGATCACTAGCCCTACATGCTCTTTACTACAACGATGCTATTTACATCGTGCTGATCCTCATTCAGCAGCCATTGGTGCAGTTTTTATCCTCAAGATGGCAGCATTTGAAAATGCTTCTTAAAAAAGAAGGAAAACAGGTTATGTTTTACTCCAGGGGTCTCCAACCTTGGCAACTTTAAGACATGTGGACTTCAACTCCCAGAATTCCTCAACCTCTGTTAAGGGTTTACATTTCAAATGTGAACCCCAAACTTTTCTTCTTTTCCAGTTCTGAAATGTGGGAAAAGTTTGCACTCAGTGCAAGACACTGGCCTTGACTTGTAAATAGAGCAATGTCTTAAATGCTGTGGCAGAACTGGCTTTTCAGCAGATGCCATGATATTTGCATCCTACTCCTTAAGCAAGTGTAAACCAGATTAAGTGTAAGACAACATTTAATTTTTTTTAAAGATAGGAACCAAGTACTAAGGACAAATTTTCTGACAGTGGAACTGCTTCCTTTCATAAGTAGTGGGTGCTGAATAGGGGATAGGACTAGAATAGGGGATAGGACTAGACCTCTGAGGTTCCTTGCAACTCTTTGTACTGTATTTCATTTCCTACCACAATTGCTTTTTCAAGTTGCTTTCATCACCTCATAGAGGTGGGGTACTTTTACATCCTGAACAAAAATGGAAAACAATGTGTTTATGTGGTTACAATTTCAAATGCTTTAAAAATCTGGACAAGTTCCAGTCAAAATTAAACACTTTAATGATCTGTTATCAAAGAGCAATAACAATGAAGAGCAATAACAAGGCATCTGTAGTAGGCCAAAGATTTATAATAGTTACCTTGGCTGATCTCCTAGATGTAAAACCAGATCTGGTTAACAGTTAAATAGGTGACCATGAGGAAATTCCTTCAAGTCTAAATAGTCATAATTTGGAAGGTCTCAGACTTGGGTCTTAGGTAGAAATAAGATTTGAATTGAATCCAAATACTTGTTTCCTTCTTCCTGGATCTCCATAGATATATCAGAACACTCATCCCCTGCAGTTGCTTTATGGTTCAGAATATAAAACTGGAGCCATAACATCCTGTGCTTTGTGCAATCTCCCAAAATTTGAGGAATAACTCTTGTCCTCCAGAAATCAGCCATGTATAATTGATAATGCCGCTGTAAAAAAATAGGGACCACTTTGGTGGGAAGGTAACAGTGTTCTGTACACCTTCGGTGTTTAGTCATGCCAGCCACATGACCACTGAGGCCTTCAACTCTTTGGCTTTGTAACAAAGATGAGCACTGCTCCCTAGAGCCAGAAACAGCTAGCACATATGTACGAGGGCAACCTTTATCTTTACCTATAGAAAGTCAGCACCTACCCCTCCCAGAAAAATAAAATATCTTGAGAAATATTAAAAATGCAGAATATTATGTTTCCTCAAAGGGAGAAGTGGAGAAACATGTTTTTTAAAGGCAGAAAGCAGCCCCCACTTTCCTTAATACAGCCAATGTCAGCACTTAAGAGATAAAGAGCTTATTGAAAGAGGAAGACAAGTATCTAGATAGCTCAATTTATAGGCAAAGCAGATACTGCAGGCAGAAATCCATTCAAGACAGGATATTTTGAAACTCCCTGCAGCAAAGTCTGAACAAAGGCAAAAGGGTAGGATTCGAAGCAACCCCTCTTCCAAGATCCAAAATGGGACAAAAGCCGTTAAGACTCAACAGGAATTGCTCAGGAATTGCTTGTGTTCTGAATCCCTTTCAGAACACAAGCCCCTTCACTGCATGACCCCAAAGCAGTCCAAACTTCACCTGGAAGCTCAGATAAACAATAAGCCAGAGGCTGATCAGATTAGCACAGACAAACATCTAGGATTTGCATTTCC